ATGCCATCAACACAGGTTCTTCAGCGTGAACTGGAGCTACGACTTTAACTATCAGTTTTAATATCTGAAGCTAACATTAGCATCAAGGGCTTGTTGCTTGGCAACAGTGTCCACCACAACCAATTTTTTACTTATAAACATCAAACTTGTTTGATATTAATCGAAGTGGACCAGATGAGTCTGTCAGCAGTTCTGAAGATTTCAAACTGGAACTCTATATGACTAAATAATCTGAGCCAAACATCGTGTCAGACAAAAGTCCAAGGCCTGATTTCTCCTCTGATTGTCGGGAGAAGTCACACAAAGGTGACATTCGTGATTCATCAGAAATGTTTTCAATCAGCAGTTTTCAGTTCTATTCAACACAAGTAGTCAGAGATGGGGTTTAAGTGTGTAGCTTGGCAATTGCTTGTCTGGATAACTTCCCCACCTAGAACAAATAGCCACCACAGCCTCTTTTTTTTTAAACTTTTGTATTGGAAGCATCTGGAACCGTGGCCCATTCAGTCAACAAGACGGACCTCCAACAGGGCCGAGATCCGCAGAAGCGTTAAGCAAAGAATAAGAATGAAGTACAATGCAAGCCTCACACATCAAGCTGACATCCATTGCTGGCAAGCGGAGGCAATATGGATTGAATCGGCCCAGTTACGACTTGCATCCAACTTACACAGATCTTTTTAGAAATATGCATGCACACACTCACACTCTTTCTAGTAGGTTCTCAGTTGAGGTGATTGAAGTGATCGTTAAAAGTCTATTTAAGCTGCAGGTCAATACAGGGAAGCCGTGCCTGGTTAAACCAAAGAGTGTTTAATAGTGGAAAGTATAGATTTACCTACCCATCCTGCTGAAGTTCATGAGTCTAATATTAAGACTGGTGGAGCTCTGCAATAATTTATAACAGCTTCCTCGTCCTCTGGTCTTTGTAAGGTGACAGAATTACTGCGGGTCTATAACGTCACATAATTAATTCAGGGTCGAGTGGAATCAATCGCGGCAGGGCGAAACTTTCGAGACGTTGCAGAAGAACAAGTCCGCTCTCACAAAATAAGACATCGCACTTGAAGCTGCTAAATGTGACCAGAGGCTTGACTGCAGTGAAAGGAGACCTGGTCTAATGTACTCAAAACCAGAGGACAAGCAATGTCACATTCTACACTGCAGTTTGAAAGCCTATTAAAATGCACCCTTGGGTGAGGCATGCACAGGCTGTCTCCTCTGCTTTATACCAACGGAGCCCTGGCTTGAAATAATCTTGTTACTGTGAGAGTTGAGCACAGATTAATAGGCAGCGTTACAGCAGGACTTATCCAGATTTATGTCATGGAGTAAAGGCTCAATCTATAAAAGCAGCCTTAGAGCGACTGACGAGTGTATGATACCAGTACACGTAGCTCACACTTGATGTCTGGGTGGCCTATCAGTCCAGGCATTTATTCGATCAATTTGAAGCTTCATTTCCGGAGCTCCCATTCAAAGGCAGCGTAGCCACAAATTCAGTTTGCTCAAAGTGAAGACTAGATATACATTTGCATAATTTCATTTTTATTATCCCCCCGCTGGAAGTCAAAAGGCCAAAAAACCAACATGGAAACAAAGCTGCAATCACAACAAAATGCCTGTTTTATTGTAATTCTGAAACCCCCATTGTCTTAACCATATTCTGAATGTTCCACTAAGCTGAAATCCAATTTGTGTTTCATGGCTTTTTCATTTTACAGAACCGCTGGCAGCTGTGTTTCTGTCGTCTCACCTTCAATTCGGAGCGCATCCACTTCTTTCTCCTCAGTCTCTGCTAAGTTAAAAGATGTTCCAGTACTGAGGGGATATTAGCAAATTGTTTTCGTGACATGAATATGTTTCATATCAAGAACATGTTCAAATCATTAGACTTGTCATGCTATATTTTACTTGGGTAGAAGATCTGCTCTTTGGCTTACTAGTGGATGTTTGACTCACAATGACGGCAGGCCGCATTTGAAGCCACAACACCATACATAAGGGTATAAATGAGCAAATAGCAGGCTGTGTAGTAACTCCTCTCTGTCATCATAAGATGATTCAAAATGCATCTGTCAGTGAGGCAAACAAACAGCCTGCTTTCACGAAATATTAAACATACATGATGTCTGAGAGGGTAAGCAGCGTATTCGCTGCATGAAAAGGAAAGAGGAAGAATACAGTTCTCTAAGATGAAATGTTAATGCTGTTGAGAAATGAAAGAATATAGAAGCACACAATGTGTTTCCACGCTCTTCTTCTATATCACTTGTGTGTTGCTGAGAACACTCTCTTCTCTGTGCAGTAAATCCTAATGCTAGCAGCTGGTTAGGTTAACCTTTCATTTTCAGACTTTCAACACTTAAAATGAAGCCCTTTTCAGACATTGGATACCTGACATTTGTGGAATCATTTATAATCAAGTTATGGCAGTCATTCACGCAGGTCACGTCTACGTTGTTCTTCACTGCTTCATTCAATGACAAAGAGAGCCACCAGTTACTTTGGTTGTTTCACTGCATACATGTACGCAACTATTTCTTTGGCGACGCTCAGAATGATGCTGCAGATATCAGTAAACACAAAGATTCCTACAAACAGGTGGAAGCAACAAATTACATGTCAGCTCTTGTTAATGTGTCAGTGTTTTGTCAAACCTGGACATTTATCATTGTTGAGTTTCAATAAATCTAACCTGAAGACTATCTTCAGTGCAGTAAAGTGAATGAGAAAGGCTCCAAACTTTGTCTTTTGTACACTTTATAATGTTTTTGGATCAGTATTAAGCTGACATTGCTTCACACAATTCAAAGTATGTCGCTTGTGCGTGCCAATCTGTTAACGTGGAGTTCAGAGTTGTGTGATACAGAACTGTTGCCATTGTGACGTTACAACAGGTATGTTCAAGTTACAGCACACTATGTTTAGTCACAAAAAAGAACATTTAACCTAACGCATATTGAGAGCTAATGTAAAAAAGCCTCTTGGTGCTCTTTCAGAGATGAAGCCGACACATTCAGATACTGATTCATAGAAAAGGGTACAAGGAGGTTTTGCTACTTTCAAACACCCAAAGCTGTTTTGAATCTTTTCTCTGAGCTGAGCTAACCACCTGCTTGCTGTAGTTTCACTTTTAACAGACGAGAAGCGTTTTGAACCTTTCGTCTAATTCTTCTCTTTCATCACCAGACCCTCCTCATACCTTGCTGTTTTACCTCAATCGGTATGTCTGACTCAAACAAAAGTTATGCAAGTATAATGCTATCCCTGTCCCAAAACCTAGAATTGAGTTTTGATTAGCTCATCTCATTTTGTGAATCCTTAAAAATAAAGTACACTTTGTGCTGTTGTCCTTTTAATACATTTATGTTATGAATAAACATAATTTCTGTGAAACAAACTTATTCTAGATTTTAGACTTTGTACGCACATGCAGTACCACACAAGCATGCAGACTTGTTACATGCGGCGGCTTGGCAGCTTGATAATTAGCAGCCTTACAGTACTTCGGTCACTCTGAGCCACTGTTTAATTCCTCACTTTACATTTCCAGTCCACTCTGCTGTTGAGGACAGACACTAAATCAGTAAAATGAATAATGACTCTCAGGAGCAGTTCACAACCCTGTAGATATAAATAGACAGGTCTGCTGAGCCCTTTGTGAACTTCACAGGGGGAAACACTTGCCAGGTAAACATAGTCCCATCCCTCCCACTCTGTGTCTCCAGTGTCATTATCACAACTCCCTTTGTTCTTCAATCAACCTTTAAAGACGGCTCACGTCGTACTTACTCTGTGATACTTGCGGAGTGCGTGCGTGTGTGTGCTTCTGCTCTCGTTTGTGCAAATGTGTGTCCGAGTTTGTATTTATGTAGCTGCTTGGACTCAAGGCAACATCGAGGCTATAAAAATGCTATAATGCTGTAAATGATAGCACAAAGCAATAATCTGTAAGTGCTAATGTCTTTGAACTTTCTAGGTCATACGTGCACTTAACATCATTTATGTGGCATGGGAAGCTATAGCAACATTAAACAGGGTGGGTTCTCTCTCTCTCTCACACACACACACACACACACTTCGCTCGATGTCTAAAATCATAGAAGACGACCTCTGAACTCAGCACCTCTTATGTCTGTGCATAAATGATCCCTCTGCTTCATTTCCATGCCGAGAGCTGACCTTTCTCTTAAAAGGCCGAGTTTTACATTTCCCATCCATATGTGAAAGAGGACATGTAAAGTAGCCCGCACGCATTCATCATCTCCTGCCGCTCAGGGAGTCACATAATCAATCAAACAGTCAGCGGGCTTGATGGAAAAACTGAAGAAATCCCCCATCATTGGTATTTCTAAGATCAGCGGCATCCTGTCTACATCAAGATTTAAAGTGGAATCAACAGCATTTGTTCACTAAATGATTGAAAACCGGCACTCGTAAATTAAACATCTACTGTATGTCCACAGGTGCTATGATGAGTGTATGAGAAACACAAGAAGAAACACTGACAAGCACCACAAGGTTCTCCCTTTTGACACCAAAACAGCCCTGACCTGTCTGAGCACGAACACAGGATCTCTGGAGGTGTCCTGGGGTGTCTGATTGGAAGCAGATCCTTTGGTTATTACGGGTCACAAGGTGGAGTCTCCATTGATCAGAACTGTTGTGGTGCTCAATCAGATTGGGGTCTAGGGAGTTTGGAGGTCTGGTCAAGGCTTTATGCTCTTTGTCGTGTTCCTTGAGGGATTTCTGAGCATATTTTTTGGTGTAGCAGGGCAAATACTCCTGCTGGGCAAAGCTGTTGCCATCTGGTAATGCCTTGATGTGGGGGGAGTGTGCTTGTCTGCTACAGCGCTCAGGTGTGTAGTACATGCCAAAGGACCCAAGGTTTCCCAGCAATACATTGCATTGAAACAAGATGATTGATAAACTATTTACTTTACCTGTTTTAATGTTGTGGCTCATTAGTATATGTTAAGTTTGTGTACTTTTAAATGATTCTGCTGATAATATTCAATATTTTTGGCTTAACTGCATTACATTTGACTTCAGCACAAGCCAACAGGTTCCTATTAATGACATAAATCTTTAAAAAATGATACAAACATGTAAACTTTTATCACTGAAATGGCAAAATAATTTCCTCAAACAGCCTGGCACTGCAGGTTTTTTAGTAAACACTGCCTAAACATGACTAAATGTGCATATATTTAGCCACAATGTTGGCATGCGAGCAAATATTCTCAACTGCAGGGGTTCAATCAAAACAAACTACTGTGTTGTGTTCATAACGAAAGCACATGTCGACCAATTGAACAGTGTGACTCAGTGACTGTGGCACAGAGGACTAACTTGTATAATGCTTTAGCTGCATGGGCAATGCTTGTTAGTGGGAGCAGCATGAAATAGCATTGGTGTAATGATATGTAAATTTTGCAAGGTAGGGTTCTACTTCTTGCTGCTTGGATTTAAAAGAAGAAAAAAAAAAAACACTTAAAATCTACATGATTGCTTGCTGACCTGTTTTGCAACCTGCATAAAACAGTTTCTGCAGCACACGCAAGGACGCAATAATAATCCTGCACGCGACGCGCATACCGGAATGTGTTTTTAACGACACATTCCTACGTGGAGAAATGAATCTGCTCCTATACGACGCCTACACCTTAACCTTGAGTGAAACCTAGAGGAAGTTAAAAGAAGTAGAGAGCGCACAGACCACAGGATGGAGCCGAATTTAAATGGCGGAAAGCTACAAGCAGAAACCTTAATCCCTGAAAGTCAACCACGCATACACAAACTAGACGACTCAACGGCTAACAAGCAAGAAGAAGCCTCCAGAGCTGCCAAGGATGGAGTGCGTCCAGATGGTGGGGTTGGGTTGCTCTGGGCCGAGGGCTGACTCTGACCCCCATCATTCTCACCCACCTCCCCCCTATAGATCAAACACTGGAAGAAAGACAGCGTCACCTCTCTCTTTACCAAATTACTGAGACCCTGAGACAGCAGTGCCCTTATGATGTGATTACTCTCCCCATTAGCATAATTTAATATAATCAGACTCTACTTCTGACTGAGAGTAACCATGGTAACCACACTTGACAGACGGCAGTGGATCTTTTCTGAACTCTAATGGACTGGAATGGTCTCTTATCACGAGTGTGTGCAAGCAGAGTTCTAAATCTGAACACACTCCTGCAGAAGGTTTACCTTGATCAGCAGTCGGATGGTTCCCGAGGCCTTATGGGAAAGGTAGTACCAGAAGGAGAGCTTGCAGATGGCACTAGACTCTTTCCAAACAGAGCTCCTAATATGAGTTTTATCGCCTTTCAGTCCCACCGGTGTAGCTCCCAGATAGACAAAATGACCTAAAGGGAGAGAAAAGAGGAGAAGAAATGAAGGAGGAGGGCAGCGAGCGGAGAGGAATTGATAAGTATCTCTGTACCGGCAGCCACTGACAAATCACAGCAAGGTCACGGGAATTGTATTTGGGGGAATGAGGGCCAGGAGCCATGAAGTAATCTCTGACACAATGCTTAATGTCTCACTGGCTTTTGACACAGGGGACCACTCAAAGTTTCTCAGTTAAATCAAACTCACAAAGAAGGGGGGAAAAAAAGCTGAGAAACAAATAGAAAACAAAGGGAGGACTGCTGTGTCCTTCTGCAAATACATGCAATTATACTCTGAAGCTCTTACAGGCATTAAATATGTAACATAGCAGCTTCATCGATCTGTTAAAGTGACGACATTCTGTCATTCAGACAAAGGTCAGTTTTGCAATAATGTTCCTCCATCTATTAGCCCAGTTTATTTATGATTTCACTGATCACTGAAAATTCTGTCCATGTGTGATAACAGTCTAACTTTGCCAGCAGTTAAAATTGTGTGAAACAGCTGTGATGGAGTTCAGGACTCATATGGAGGACACATGAGTTAACTGCAACTTATGAACTGTCTCAGCATAATGAAGCTTCCAGCGCTGTTCCACCTGCATAATTATGCTCTCTCGCTATGGATCTTGCGGCTGTTTGACGCCACAGTTATTTATTGAAATTGAATGAGAAAACTGTTTTGTAAAACGGTGTCTTTTGTCCCTCTGTAATGTTTTCAGACCTATATTGCCTTCCCCAAATCACACACTGAAACTCTGTTGATATTATTTATGGTCTACACTTTTCAGCAATATTCATTCTGACTGAATCTTTACTTTCAGTCCATCTTCCTGGATTTGAATTGGCTTTAGAAGAAATGATGCAGCTTTCCCACAGATGCAGCCGCATTGAAATAAGTTCATGAAACAGGCTGGCTCTGTACAGTAGAGTACAATGTATTTGTCTCCACAGTTAGCACTGACCACAAGACATGGTCTTTTTTTTTTATGATAACAACTCTGTGTTTGCAAGGAAGTAATGAAAAAAGCAGCCCCAGCAAGCCATTCTTCTTCTTCTTCTTCTTCTTCTTGTAGGTAATAGACTCCTTGTGTCCTGCTGTGGCATCTTGCACAGCATGACATCAGATCAGCTGTAATCATTATTGTGTGACTTCTTCATTAAAACACTGTTTGTCTGATTGCTCTTCTATTGTTTCTCTTATTAAAATAGCTACTCAACTAGTGTTTGCTGCTGTAATAACCCACAGTAACCAGAAAGGATCACCAAATAAACCAGGACTAAAGTCTTTAGGGTTCATTTTAAAATGCTTAAATGGAAAACCTTCTTAAGAGCTCTTTGTGTGCAAATGTGCATATGTGTTTATTTATTCATGCGTATGGCTTCTTACCATGCGCATTGTATAATGGAATTCCAGCCCTGCATCAATCACCTGAATTCACATCTGCTGTACTTTCACAGACTGAGAAGTAGATTATTGATTTTGTCTTTAAGGTGGGTAAAACATGAATTAAACATGGAGGAGAGCTACCACAGCAGTTTGGCTTTAACAGGTGAACTTTTTTTTTTTTTAAACTAGCGCAGTTTCATTCTCTGATTACACAAAACACAGACGTGAAGTTGCGCCTGTTCAATTATACAATGCTAATCCAAAGAGGGCTAAAGCAGTAAGGGACCAAACTTTTTAAATCAGAAACTGGGAAATGAACAATTCTATAATTTATAAATGAGTCCACCAGGAAACCAAATAAACACGTACCGTTCTCGTCCATCAGCGTGTGATCATATGGAGGTCGTATGCTTTGGACAGATCCAGTACCCAGCGTCCAATCAAAATTATCAGCCAGGGAGCTCTTCCAGCCACAGCGACCGTTCTCAAAGGAGCAGGAAGTCCCACAATCCTTTTCATCGGTGCCATCGCCACAATCATCTGTAAAGTCACAGCTCTGCCCTGGAGCGTAACACCGGCCGTTTTCACAAAGCAGGAAGCCTGAAGGACAGGACCCTGGAAACAAAATGCAATTTATCATACATTTTCTTATACGTACAATATTAGATTAGCCGTGAAGGTCAATGTAGCTTAATGTAGTTCTGGGGTCTAATGACAAGCATGCTAACATGTGTTGACAGTGTCTTATTTAAAAGAGAAAGACCTTGGAGTCAGAGGTCAAGACTGTGGGGAGGGACACAAACGACATCGTACAGTTAAGGAATAGCTTGGGGAAATACACTTATTTACTTTCTTGTCAGGAGTTAAATTAGAAGATTGGCTGCTCCCATGTCTGTCGATCAATTTTTGTAAAGTAAATTATCAAAGAAATTCAACTTCAGTTTGGATCATTTAAGGCATTACAGCTGTGTCCATGCTTCTAGTAGCGGTTGTGCTGTTTTAATAAGAGACTTTATATGGCAGTAAAAATGGGAGTAAAGCAAAAAGAATGCCCAGAAACTGCTTTATATTAGGAGGGTTAAGTGAGAGAGACCTTGAGGACAGAGGTCAACATGAGAGGAGGAAAACAAGACATAAAAGACAGACTATACAGATAAAGAATAGTTTGACATTTTTGGAATACGTGTCAATCTCATGTCTGTACCATAGATTGTATAGTGTGTGAATGGAATACGAAACTACAGCCAGAAGCCAGTTAGCTTAGCATACATCTACAGACTATTTCCGCTTTACATCTCCATCGTTTAACCCATATAAAAGCAAAAACGTGTACGAACAAGATACCAGGAAGTTATTTCTCCAAGTAATCTACAACCTAAAACTGCAACTTGGCATTTCTTTTGTACATATTAAACAAAACTGATGTAATATGTAAATTCTTCAGGTTTAGGGATGGTGGTTTGTAGACTTTTAACACAGCTCATCAAGGTTTTAAGCTTTTTCCCAGTAAAAAAAAACTAATATGTGTATTTCGCGAGTTTTCCCAGCAAAACAGCTAATATGTACTTCACCAGCTTAAACAGCACCACAAGAGTTGAGTGTTAACTTCACAGCATAAGAAGTCAACTCAAGAGTAGGGGGACCATCTGCATGCAGCATCAGGGTCTCTTTAAGAGGCTTAGCAAGACAAAGGAGCATGGAGCTGTAAGCCCAAATCACTGTATCATTGGGTGGCGGTGCCGGAGGGGGGAAGAATCTGCTTCTTTTGGAGCCAGGCATTCCAGTGGGGTGAGTGCTTGGCTTAGGGGAGTGTTAGAAAGGGATATGAGGCGTGATGAAGAGGGGTGGTCCCTGTAATTAAAGGAGAGAAAGGGGTATAAGTCTTTCCTAATCCTTTGTTCCTCTTCAGATGCACAGGACCAGAAGCAATGTGCCCCAACAAAGGCACATAGGAAGCCAGGAAGCCACAGCCACTGACAGTGAAGTCAGGCTGCCTGTACACGGATTCATTATAAAGGAAATGCACAGTTTTGAAGCTAATAACATACCGCATCTCCCACAACAGTCTCTGTTTACCTGCCACTAATTTGTCCTCATTAATTCCAGTACACGTCTTGTAACATGGATACCTCTGGGGCTTACATTGTTGTAAGCAATGTGATCTTCTCACCAGGGACCCACAGTCCTCACATAGGGTATGTAAGCCAGACACCCTGGGTCACATACTGCCCCCTGGTGCAAAAATGGTGCTTGAGATAAACATTGAAAAACAAAAAACACAAAGTCTGAATCTGAAATCTTAATCTGACAGATGCAATGAAGTTATCCTGTGGTGCCAATGAAACATGCCTGGTATGTTGTTTAATCATTCCAGTACTTTACAAACACCACCTAGAATGTCTTAGAGTAGAACATCACCTGTAACTACGATCCCACTATGGAATATATAACATCATGAGTTTTGTTAAGACAGAAATTATGGCAGAACTGATAATTAGACTGCATTATTTCACATTGGTGTTCCTAATAATGTGACCACGAACTGTAGGTGGTTTTAAACATTAACATTCCTTATAGGTTTCTTCATACTTGATGTGATATTTCTAGAATGAATTACACGAAAAAAAATATCAAAAATAAGACCGTTTTGTTCTCATGCGCTGCACTACCAATGGATTTAAAAACTTATTTTGCTGGTGAAGCTTAACTTAACGACCTCCATGATTCTCTTGCAGCAGATGCAATAAACGTTTTCAGCTGTTTAATTAGGTCGAGATTTCTGCTGCCCATTTTCAAAAGCGTGGTAGGGCAGTGACTCAAGCAGAGAATGAGAAGACATTAAATTTGGTGAGTACTTAACTCTGATTTGCTTGCATTCTAAATCTACTGTTAAGCATTTGCCGAATTTTCTCTTATTGCTCTATGCCGTTGACATTCACACACACACCCACACACACACACACACGTACATATGCATACCTGCACATGTGCTATGATACATAAAAATCTCTGAACTGTGACTGTATGATGATAGTACCATTACGACATTAACGGTTTCTACACCTTTTGTTTTACAGTTTCATGCTAATGTTGAGATAAATGCTCAGCCACAGACATTAAACATGTGTGCGATGAGGTCAAATGCTGTCTGTCTTTCTGCTCTGTCACGTATATGGTGGTAATATACAGACTGGAGCTGTGAAAGAAAAAGCCCATGAGGAGGAGCTGCGGTATGTAATTACAGTTCCTGCTGTCTCTGCTCTCATCAGTATCACTGTACGTCCTCTGCAGCTTGCAGCTGCTAAGACACACAGGGAGCAGGTTTCTCCTTCATCCACAACTCTTCCCCCTCATGGCTCCTTAATGGCAGGATGAACTTCCCTTCACTGTCGGGGCAGTGCTGCTACTCCTTGACTTAACCTTCAAGAACGCTTCACATCCCTCCATCCTCTAGAATCACTTTGCCTCCCTTTTGAGCCTGCGTTCTTTGCTCCGCCTTTACTTGTTCAGAAAATGATCCTGTCGTGTTTTGAAAAAGAAGAAAAACACATTTTCTGCCCTTTTCAGCCCCACTATAGTTTTTTTGTCTAGTATTTCTTAAACTACAAATTCTGTACTGAAATACTTCCACAAGCTTCTGTCAACTCCCATGTTTGAGCACTGAAGCTGATCTATTAGTTACGCACAATAATATAAATGTGTACATGTATACACCAGTCAGCCATAATATTAAGACCACCAACAGGTGAAGTCGAAAACACTGATCAAGTTCAAATGCAATGTTCTGCAGGAAGAGCTTGGGGAAAACAACCACAACTCCAAGGTCACTAAACTCCCCAGATCCCAATCTGATCGAGCATCCACAGAACGTGCCGGAAAAAGCCAAAGGATCTGCTGCCAATGTCCCAGCCAGATACCACAGGAGAGCTCCAATGTTCATACCTGAACACGTCAGAGCCGCCATTTTTGTAGCACAAGGTGGAAATACACAACATTCAGCAGGTGGTTTTAATGTTGTACTGTGTATATAAGCGTATTAATGTTGTTGCTTTAGGTGTGTGTACAAGCAAAATTCAAAAAACCTAAAATGCACCAAAAGTAAGTGCACGTGTTTTAGCATTATGTCTCAAGGGGAAACTTCATTCAAATCACAAGAGGAACTACATTTTCTCACTTTGCTCACACAGTGTCTAGTCATTCAGTTGTGAAATTCATTTGTACAGGTTCTTAAAATGTCAGCATTTGCAGAAAACTTTTGTGAATCGACAGCTTGTTTCAGCAGCCACTGATGCTGTTACCATCCTCAAGACAGGAATTAGGTTTCCCAGTCTTAAGGAATATAACATCAGTAAAGGCATCAAGCAGAGCAGCAGGCTAAGATAATAAACTATTATTCAGACCCTCGATGGAATTAAAAGCATTAACATGGACGCCTCATTAGCCACAGATCTGCATTACTGAGACCATTCTGCTTCCACACTAGTGACTGTACACTCCTGCACTGCTGGAATCTAACTATTCACTGTAAGCAATAATACAGACGAATGTAAAGAGGCTGTGATGCAGTGAGAGAAGTAAGAGAAAGAGACAACTGTAAGGAAAATCCTGCACATCACACTACAGCCGAAGAGAAGCCTTTTCCAGGTCAAACTGACAGGGAGCTTTAAAGTTTTATCCCTTTCTGTGCACAGACGATCCAGAAATTCTCTCCTCTCCCCAATATCCAATACAAGAGCAAGGCAATACATTTAATAGGCCAATTATAGCCACCGTGACAATGGCAATAAATCAGCTCTTGTTGTTTTCTCTCGCCTTTTCAAGGGTTCCCTCATAAAAAATGTAAGGGATGCAGAGGAACTTCTAATAGCTGAATAGTTCCCAAGTCTGAGACACAGACAACCATGGGTTCACTTTAGTCAATGCTTAGACACCATGTCAAGGGAGTGTTTCTCTTCAGCAGTTCACTGAAAATTGTCCTCATTTTTGCTTCATGTCAGAAGAAAACGTCTTCTTTAATGTCATTTCTTGCGTATATAAACGTAACTCCAGTTTAAACAGGATGTTACTGATCAGCTGCTCATATTTGGGAATGATGGAACATAATTCAGCGCTTCATGTAAATGTATTTTTTTTAATAAAGACTAGTATGTCATGGAAAACTAAAGATTCACAAAGGCTTAAAAACCCAAATATGCAACACTCTGTTGTGTTACTACATGTTCACTGGAAACCTCAATTTTCAGGCGGTCCGACACACGTTCTGTGGTATGTCTCTAGCTCAGCTTTAGTTTTTCAATTTCATTATAAATATCACATCAATTTCCTAAATCGCTCATTTTCACCTTCCAAATGAAGGCGATGTTGAAATATCCCAGCAGCCATTAATTCTCTGATCACCCATATAAGCAAACTATCATAGTGAAAGTCATCACAACTGCAATAATCTACATCATAGTGGTGTAATATCCTTTCTAAATCTGGAAAACAATTTAATTTGGCACTTGAGGCTCTGCAGCTACATTCTCCTCGCACTGACAATCATTTTTCACCACTGTGATAAAACGCTCATATAAGGAAACAGTCCTCAAGGGAAACCGTCGTACAGCTATTTACTGAAAGTAGGAAAGGGACTACAGTCCTGGCACTCTCCCTGCCACAGCGGAATTAAAAAGCCATTATTAAATGGCCAGGGCTTTCAGGAGCAATAAGAAAAACCAATATGTTCCAGCTACACCCTGGCCTTCATCTGGGCATCAAGGCTTTTGCAGAAATATCCTGGCAATTCATTACAGGCTCAGTTCAAGCAAGAAGGTTTTTACTGTAATTCCTGTTTGCCAAGGACCCTGCCTTGTTGAATCTTTGTCTTACTGTGAAATTTAGCTCTTGAGTTTATATTGTGCTGACGCTGTTTAAGGTTACTACTGTTATATATTAACAGTACACACCTCCAGTGTCTCCCTGGATTTTACAGGTCCACATTAACAGTGGACTTTTATTTCCACAGTTGACATTTTGACTTGTGGAATTAATGACGGCTCACATCCCTTCCATTCATGCAGTCTCAGTAAGTCATGACAGTGAACCAGCATGCACAAGAGCAGGACCTCCTCCGACACGTCAAAACGTCTGCTGTGAAAGAGGTCCGTGCTTTATGACCCACACCAAGTTCTCTGCAAAGACACGGAAGCACGTCTGCCGGAGGGGAAGCAAATAAAAGAAAACCTGGGAGACCCGTTCAGAAGGGGAATCTCCTCTTCTTGGATTTAGTAAGGGGATATAAGGCAATTACAAAACAGAGTAAGTCTACAGTCGGCTCTGTCTTGACTTTATTTAAACATCAGGGGTAAGAAGGTCCAGTGTTAACCACATTCACCATCATAGTTTAACATGTATTTGCTGATAAGCTCTAAACACAAAGAGCAACTGAGCTGAGGCTGATGAGAATTTAAGCATATCATCATCAGTAGTGGAGAAAATCAACATTTTTGCGAGATGATGGTGATTAAAAAAAAGTTAGAGGATCACCAAAGTTAGTACAATTCATCCTGAGAGGCACATAAATGAGTGAATTCAACTCTGTCTCAATCTATCATGTAGATTTTAATGTATTTTAGTGAACAAGGGACATCTTTGTTCCAGTTGGAAGTGGTTCTACAGGAAAAGTCAGGGGAAAACCAAAGATATTATGATTAATCCCCTATGGCTCACAGATATTTATACTAAATTTAAGTCATACAACAGTTGTTCAGAAGTTTCAGTGAAAACCAAACCAACTGACCCACAGAGAGCCACTGCAATCACGAGCCAGGACTTTAGCATGGCTAAAAATAAGGATACCTTAAGAAAAACTATTCAGAAAGTTAATAAAGCTATTAAACAATCTCATTTATATATAACATAGCTCATGTACTTTTGTAAGCCCTCCAGAATAATTCCATATAGATAAATTCCAAAGAAAAAGTTGAAAGATGATAAATAGAGATCAATCGTAGGAAGTAAAGTAACATGGAAACAAACTGCAAACACCTAAAAGAGCTCGGCATAAATTAAACAAAAGCAAACTTTGTACCTGGAGGAGGTGGAGGAGTGTTGTCCGGTAGCTCATCAGAGGAGGCGAGAAGACACCCTGGAGAGAAAGTGATGTCATCCAGGCAGATGTCACCCTTTGGACTTCGGCCCACCTTGCCCTCGAACACGATCTGGAAGTCTCCGGTGCTGCTCAGCGGGATCTCTCTCATCTGCCAGTAGTTGCCCTGATCTCCCGTCAGGTTCAGCAGGAGATCAAGACGTCCTTCGGTTTTGCTGAACACGCTAAGGGTCCCGATGCCATCTCCAGACATGTGGAAGTAGAAACGCATCTGATCAAAGGAGGAAAATGTAGAAAGTGTTAAAAACCCTTACATAGTGAGAGATTTCATTCTTCTCATTAATATCACGACAGTTTCCAAATCTTGCATAATATAATTATCTTACTATTAACTCAGCCACGTATTACAATTAAAATGCTGGAAAATTACCAGGCATAAATAATTACTAACTCCTACCCTGACTGTAATACAGATGTGGTTGAAAAGGTAATTTAATATTTACATTAGCATTTCTAAATAACGTGTTTTAGAATCACTGAGACGTATTGATTCTTGCTTGGCACACTGATGCCACTTTCTTTTCCATTTGTTTTTTTTTTCTGATTTCCTTTTCCCATATTGCCATTCATTATGATATATTACAGCAAGAAAGAAAACATATGGGCATACCAAGGTAATGCAAGGTAAGGTAAGTTTAAATCTGCTCAGGCAGTCACAAAATCGATGCAGTTTTCCTCTCAATCCTTGTCTTTAATAAAGCATGAAGAGAAATTGTGTTTCTCCATCACGTAGCACTGAGGTAGTGATATGTTTTATGGGCTTCCTTTCCAAACAGAGGTATGAGCTACAGCTGCAGAGTTACTCCCTCTCTCCCAGGAGAGAGAGAGAGCGCCCCGTCCTCTCCTTCTCACTTCCCCCCTGCACAGCCCTCCCTTCCGTTTAATTGGTGCCTTTTTTGCGGACTGTGTGATTGATTGGCAGGTCGGCAGTGGGATAAGACAGACACGACACTCGGAGCAAACTGGGCAGTCAATCAAGAAATCATTCCCGGCGGAGGATCGGGCTGACAGCTGGGAGGACACACACACACACACACGCACGCACGCATGCACAGACGCGCGCACACACACACACACACACACACACACACACTATCACCGAGTGAACAAGCACATACACTCAGTTTCTAATTGCCCGTTTAGTTGCATCACATTTCAGCTGTAGCTCAAAGTACAAGAAGGTTGTATAACTAAAATTCTTTGCTTAAAAAGAAAAATGCATGATAACAAATACATTTCCTTGCTGGTAGTTGAATAAGAAGCTTGATATCAGTCATGTCTGTACACTAAATGTGACACTAAAGTCAGCAGCTAGTTAGCTTAGCGTATAGACCAGAAACAAAAAGGGATAACAACTTGTTGGATGTCCTTTATTTAACCCTCTGAATCTCTACCAGTTTTGGTGCGTTTGTTTGCTCCTGTTACATTTTTACTCACTGTGGGCTAAA